CTATTGTTTAAGATAATACAATCTAGATAAGTAGTAATTTCTGAAGCAGAGAGATTGCTACATTTAACTAGTCATTCATCTCAGGTAAGGAGGTTTTTGTCGTCTCTTACAATAAATAAGAGAAAAAATTCAAATAAAAAATTAATACTTCGATATTCCACTTTCTCATGGCCAAGTCCATTCGAAGCCAGATATTATATAAGTTAAATTTATAATACTATTTTATACAATGCTATCTATTTATCTTTTTCTGAGAAGCGAAGCTTTATTGTTCCACAATACTAGAGAGGAAAAAGGATTATATAAAGGGGATTTTTGTGTCGTGCGATTTTGATTAAGATAAATTTCAGATAAGTACGTCTGATATATAAGGTACATATTCGATAACCATTTTTGTGTTGCCTAATTTAGGTATCAATAAAAATAATACTTCAAGGTATCGAAAAAAGTGATACTCCAAAGTTTTCGAATTAGTGATACCCCAAAGTTTCATTTTCTGATTATAGTAGGGTTCACGTTTTTTGATACATGTTTGATAGAGGCTTCGCCTCATTGCTTCGCAATAATGATATCCCAAAGTTTTCGATATAGTGTTATTCCAAAGTTTTCTATAGTATTATCTCAAAGTTTTCGATATAGTGTTATTCCAAAGTTTTCGATATAATGATATTTTGAAATATATAGAAAGTATGATTAGGTATCAGTATAAGCCAGCTAAAGACTGCAAAAAGATGATATCCCAAGGTATAATTATTATAGAAAGATATATAATATATAAAATTATGCTTTGGGATTACATACAAATAGGTATCGAAAAATAGTGATACCCCAAGGTATAATTATTACAGAAATATATATAATATATAAAATTATGCTTTGGGGTATCAACAAATATGATAACAATTCGGCACTACGTGCCTCATTATCGGATGCTTTGGTATATTATCAAATATGTTAACAATTCGACACTATGTGCCTTATCCGCGATCGATATTCGAGTGCATTATAATAGTTAACAATTCAACACTACGTGTCTTATCCGTAATCAATATTCAAGTGTATTATAATAGTTAACAATTCGGCACTACGTGTCTCATTCATGATCGATATTCAAGTGCATTATAATAGCTAACAATTCGGCATTACATGCCTCATTATCGGACAATATTATATAAAGCTAACAACTGCTAAGGCACTTCATGCCATTTCTTCGAAATATAATTCAGCACTATATGCCTTATTCTTAATCAGTATTCGAATACATCACACAAGCCAGGATACGAATACTATTTCGGCACTACTCTAGCACTTATAGAAAAATTAACTAGACAGCTAAGGCACTACGTGCCGGGTCGGGCATAGCCTTCACTTCGGGCTTGCAAATGACGACAGGTGATTGAATACATCGTCAGCATATTTTTTTGCTCATGTGGCCCAGTGACGGAAATTGGTCACAACTACTATCTAACATTACATTATATCACCTGTGACCTGATATACAAAATGTGCCACCTTGGTATGTGTCATAATGACAGAAATCCGATACCGTCAAACTCATGTTAAAGCAAACAAGTTAGCATAACCTAACTCAGCTATTTCTTCCCAAAGGAAAAGTTAAAATTTAGATTATGACACCTTAGTCTGTGTTATAAAATTTAGATCACGACATCTTAGTCTGTGTCACAAAATTTGGATTACGACACCTTAGTCTGTGTCACAAAATTTGTATCACAACACCTTAGTCTGTATCATAAAAATTGGATTACGACACCTTAGTCTGTGTCATAAAAATTGGATTACGACACCTTAGTCTGTGTCATAAAATTTAAATTATGACACATACCTGAGTGGGAATAACCTAGACTAAGTGGAAATAACATAATTATGTTATTTCCACTACAGCTTCCCATAAAGGATTAATAAATGCATTACTAGCAGTTTGATTAAAGGAAAAAAAAAAATAAGTAACTTAAAAATAATCAAAAAATAAAAATAATCAAGATTTTTATTAGTTATATCCTGAACTTTACAAGGATCCTTATTGTCCAAGGTGTAGCCTCCGGACTGAGAATATCTTCCATGTCTTTAGTTGCCCTTCAGCAAAAAAAGAAATCAAGCAAATAATAGGTTTTATCAATCTCATTCTCCATCCAGATAATAATAACAACCCAGTATTAAATGCACATCAGGTATTAGGACTTGCTTGTGGAATTACAACTGATATCTTCTCAATATCTGACATACATAAGTGGATCCGAGCATTTACCGAAGCTCTTAAATTTTCTTATAATTGTATCTGGAAACCCCGATGCAGTACAGCAAACACTGCCCCTACTACGGGTATCAAGTGGGACGGAAATCTCAAAAAAAAGAAGAAAAACAATAACAATAATAATGGCACCAACAGTAACAACAATATAACTATCAACAGTTCAAATTCCCTGTCTAACAATAATAATAACAACAACAACAATGCCATTAATAGAAGGACACAAAAAGATAGCTTATTTCCTAGCAACAATATTCCAACATCTGCCTCCGACAGTACTATAATTGACATTCCTACCCTTGTTGCAGAAACATTTATTCAAAGCAATCTTATTTACTTAAAATATATAAATAATCTTATTTCTGACTATTATAATTTTATTGCATAAAATTCTGAGTAGGTATCTACAGCTGCTTGGCATCACTTAATTAGTAAACTAGTTTAAAACATTTTTCTAGTAGAAGTTAGGTGATTACTATAGGCAAGCTAGTATTTAACTCACTGCAATTGTATGTGAGAGATGTTGTTTCTTTTTATAATGTAAATAAAGAAATGGAGTTTACCTATGTTAAAAAAAAATAATAATAATCAAAATAAGTACTATGTAATTAATAGTTAATAAACTATATTTTATTAATAAACTTTGCCTTGTGAATTTATCCCAATGTAGTATAACTAACAGAATTGCTATATAAAAAATAACAGTTTAGGATATAAGATCGATGAACTAATCTGTATTGGCATTATGAATTTTGATCAAATTATACATCTCTTTTAAGCAGAATAATATCTTAATATTATATAGCATGAATCAGATCGAAGTGACTGACTCATTATGATTTTACTATAATAATATATATCTTATATCTTAAAATATATTTAAACAAAATTATTGGTTTTAGAAAATTCTATCAAGAATCTTTAAAAAAATCAAGTATCTTTAAAAGTCAATTTTCAAATAATCAAGGTAAGAAGAAGAAAAAAAGGAGAAATATGATATTTAATTTAAAAATATATATTAATAAAGTAGATAAAATTAAAGAATTAATATGTGAATTTATAAAATATAATAAAATAATTTGCAGGTTATAACTTTATTTTTTTATTTATTTATTTTTTTTAAAATAAATAGGCACTTAATACCATGATTTTTATTGAATTATTATATTCAAACCATATATTGCAATCTTATACATACTATATTACTACTAACTGTAAGTTTAACCGTTATCAATTCATCTTAATTATCCAGATACCAACTTGTACCACATGAGTAGATTCATAACCAGAGCAGGTTATAACTTTATTAAACAAAAGAGATTTTAATTCCAATTAATAAACAAGAAATATACTATATTATTTCTATAAATTGTATCTAAAAACTTAATATTATAGATATATAAGCTGGATTGAGAAAATTTATATACTATATATAATTATAATTATAATGATTCATTATAATTTATTAAATAAATAATTCTATTCTAATTAAAGTTTTTTTAAAAAAAAAAACTTTGATTTTTTGTTTATTTTTAATACAAGCTTTTCAAATAAATTTATGTTAATTTTAATTTTACCTTATATAAAAACTTTTATATTAATTAATAAAAAAACTAAAATTGATTTTTAATTTTTAATTAATTTGTATTTATCAATCTATAGTATCAATTAAATACCAATATAATATTATAACAATAATCATATATATATTAATAACAAATTATTTAATTACTATTGATACAAATTATACTTGAGTATTTTAGTTAATAAAAATTTTATCAAAACATCAACATGATAAAATTTGAAATTATCTTGTGTTAAAAACAATTCATTGTTATAATTAATAAAAAGCAGTTGAATGTTTATAAAAAATATATTTGTTTTTTATAAATTAAAAATTTTTAATAAGTTATTGGTTAACAATTGTAATGTAAATTTGATGTAAAGACTGTAAACTTTTATGTGCTCATCTGTGATAAAAACAAAAGCAAATTTTTATAAAATAAAAACATGTTTTTTTTAAAAAAATAAGATTTATAATCAAAATCAATATCTTGTTACAAATTACTGATATTAATATTAAACAATGCACCTGGGAATGTGAAATCAGAAAAATACTGCAGAAGTAAATAAAGTGTTAACGATTTAAATGATTAAAATTGCTATGCATATTCCAAAAAAGCAGCCCCTTGCATCAAATAAATAAATAATAAGTATGGCGGTTGGTCAAGGATCGAAGATCAATAATTGATGCAAAGAAGTAGACATAGTCACCCTTATATGTGGTTAATTTGTGCAAAGTCGCCATATTGCGTACTTTTATCAATATATAATAAAAGTGAACACTGCACTTATCTGTTAATTCGATTCGCGTTGAACACCGACCCGATAATCACTATGGAATGTGTAACCGTTGAAACACACCCGACTGTTATCGAAACGCTTCGGTAACCTCCGTGTCGCCATTCGTTTATAAAAGGTTAGAGGAGTTTCAGTTTATTATTTAATTTTTGAGATTAGCGTGGTATGTAAGATTAATTATGTACACAAATATGCAACGACTTTCACACAGTCGTTACATATCGAAATTATCCATCTGTTATTTAACTAATCTATGATCTACGCCATCAATTTGAGATTGTGAAAAGTATAAATGATTAAGAACATCGTTTTTGATGGAATCTTTTCTTAATAGTTCAATATCGTATTTTGAAAAATTAATCTTGAAAAAATGGAAGATGCGGATCATGATCATACAGTCGACTCCATTCGACGAGGTAGCCAAATCATGGGCCATCTCAAGAAATTAATGGTGGCTAATCGTGGTGTACGAAAACTTTAAATTTTCATCGTACGTTATCTTTGCGGATGACCATAACCATGTTTATTTTTCATTCTAAAATAGGAAATAGCTATTCGAGTCTTTCGAAGCGCACATGAGCTTTCAATGAAAACGGTTGCCATATTCAGTTATGAGGATAGGTTATCAATGCATCGTTATAAGGCTGATGAAGCTTATCAAATCGGTAATCCAAGTTCATATTCACCAGTCGCTGCTTACCTTGCTCAAGATGAAATAATCCGTATTGCTAAGCTTCGCGGCGTTTCCATGATTCATCCGGGTTATGGCTTTCTTTCCGAAAATGCAGAATTTGCTAGGAAGGTCGAGGCGGCTGGAATCGCTTTTGTTGGCCCTCCGCCGGATGTCATTGAGAAAATGGGTGACAAGACGAAAGCTAGAGAAATCGGTGAGTTCAAGTCATCCGAGAATCTGTATTGTCAATTGACTTATAAAGAAAACTTGAATTAAATCAAATTGCTTCCTCCGATTTAAGCGATCCAATGCGGTGTTCCCGTAGTTCCTGGTAGTGATGGACCCATTTTAAATCTATCGGAAGTCGAGGAATTTGTATCTAAATACGGATTTCCAATCATCATTAAAGCTGCGATGGGAGGAGGTGGTCGTGGCATGCGAGTTGTCCGTGATGCATCCTCGCTTTCTAATTCCTTCGAACGTGCAAAATCGGAAGCATTAGCCGCTTTTGGTGATGGCACGGTTTTTGTAGAACGATTTTTGGATAGACCAAAACACATTGAAGTTCAGTTATTGGCTGACGGAGCTGGTAATGTGATACATCTGTTTGAACGCGATTGTTCGGTTCAGAGGCGTCATCAAAAAGTGGTTGAAGTTGCACCAGCCGTTAATCTTGTGGTAATGTCACAATTTTGTAACGCCTTAGTGCTGTATCTCAAATATTTAGGTTCATACAGATCAATGTATTCGGTTATAAATAGAGTTCGGTTCGTGACGCAATTCTCGAAGACGCTATAAAACTTGCAAAACACTCAGGTTACCGAAATGCTGGTACTGCCGAATTCCTTGTTGACCAACAGAACAGACACTATTTCATCGAGATAAATCCCAGGATTCAGGTCGAACATACCATAACGGGTAACAATCTTGAATACCTTTGTTCCTTCAACATAAGGAGACAGCTCGATTAAAAGGTTTTTTTTCCTTTTTGCGATAGAGGAGATCACGGGTATTGACATAGTCGCAGCTCAGATCCAAATAGCTGGTGGTGCCACCCTCAACCAATTATCACTTGTGCAAAATCGGATACAGACACGAGGTTATGCGATTCAATGTCGTATTACGACCGAGGATCCATCAGAAAGCTTTCAACCGGATACTGGAAAAATTGAAGTGTATCGGTCATCTGGTGGAAATGGTGTTCGTCTGGATGGGGGTGCAGGATATATCGGCGCGGTGATTACACCACATTACGATTCACTGTTGGTCAAGGTTACATGTAGAGGGCAGACATTTGAGGTCGCCAGACGAAAGGTTCTCAGAGCTATAGTCGAATTCCGAATTCGAGGTGTAAAGACAAACCTTCCATTCTTGCAACGTCTGCTAACGCATGAAACCTTTATGTCCGGAAGCGTATGGACAACCTTCATCGATGATACACCGGAACTTTTCAGGTTGGTTAGCAGCAAGAACCGCGCGCAGAAAATATTAAAATACTTGGGCGATGTAGTCGTCAACGGAAGCAGCATCAAAGGTCAAATCGTAAGTACTATACTTTCGCAACGCTGCCCCGTGAAAGAAAATATTTTTTTTTTAAAAATTTTTTTTACCGATTATTTTATCCAGGGTGAACCAGCTTACAAATCACCACTTACTTTACCAGTAATTCGATCTTTAGCCGGTCCCGAACCCGTAGATGTGCGCCATCCTCCAGAATATGGTTGGAGACACATTTTAATTGAACAGGGACCCGAGGCGTTTGCCAAAGCAGTTCGTGATTATAAGGGAGTATTGATTATGGATACAACATGGAGAGATGCTCACCAAAGTTTACTGGCGACCAGAGTTAGAACTATTGGTAAATTTGGAAGCTTCAAATCAAATTAATTAAGTTGGCATCTGATTATTAAATTTTTTCTTTTTTTTTTTTAATATAGATCTATTAAATATAGCACCGAGCACGGCTCACGCTCTTGCAAACGCATATTCTCTTGAGATGTGGGGTGGTGCCACTTTTGATGTTTCCATGAGATTTTTGTATGAGGATCCTTGGGACCGTCTGGTGCGTGATTTTGAATGATCATGAATTCAACATATTCATTCGTTTATTCATTCACTCATTCATTCATTTATTATTGAATAAAAATAGACCAAATTGCGTAAACTAGTTCCAAACATTCCCTTCCAAATGCTTCTTCGTGGAGCAAACGCAGTTGGTTATACGTCATATCCGGACAATGTTGTTTACGAGTTTTGTAAAAAAGCAACAGAATACGGAATGGACATTTTCCGTATTTTTGATTCACTAAACTATATTGAAAATATGAAATTGGGTATAGACGCAGTGAAAAAAGCCGGTGGTGTTGTAGAGGCGGTCGTTTGCTACTCCGGCGATCTCTCTAACCCCAATAAGAAGAAATATAATTTAGAATATTATTTAAATTTCGTTGAACAATTAGTAAATGAGGGAATTCACATACTAGCCATCAAAGATATGGCAGGGCTATTGAAGCCTGAGGCAGCGAGAATTCTAATTGGCGCCATCAGGAAAAGATGGCCTTCTTTGCCAATTCATGTTCACACACACGATACTGCCGGTACAGGTGTTGCCAGTATGTTGGCGGCTGCTGAGGCAGGCGCTGATGTGATCGACCTTGCCATTGATAGTAAGTTTTAAGAAAATGATACGTCCTGCATACTGTTAAATTTGCTAACATGATTCCTCTCCGACAAAAGGCATGTCCGGTGTGACTTCACAACCATCGATGGGCGCCGTGGTATCTGCTCTTGAAAACACACATCTTGGTACTGGCATCAGACAAGAGGATGTGTACGCGTTAAATTCGTATTGGGAGCAGGCACGTAAATTGTATAGCTGTTTTGATGCTGGAATATTGTCAGCCGATTCTTCGGTATATGAACACGAGATGCCTGGTGGTCAATACACCAATTTGATGTTCCAAGCATCGCAATTGGGTCTTGGTAAACAATGGAATGAGGTCAAGAAGGCATATTGTGATGCTAATAAACTTTGCGGAGACATCGTAAAGGTTACCCCTAGTTCAAAAGTTGTAGGAGACTTTGCACAATTTCTCGTGGCAAACAAGCTTTCATATGAGGATGTGAGTTATTGGTTTGATATTTCAATGCCACTTTGTTGCCGATGTTCATTAATTAACAAAAAAAAAAAATCTCAGGTCATTGAGAAGGCGAAATCATTGTCGTTTCCGGTGTCAGTCGTAGAATTTTTCCAGGGCTACTTGGGTCAACCATTCGGAGGTTTTCCCGAACCTCTACGTACAGATGTAGGAGAAATGATTTTTTTTTTTTCTTTGGTATTATTAACTACAATGTTTGGTACTAAGATGAATTCCAACTCTTAAATAGATCGTCCGTGACTTACCAAGACTTGACATTCGACCTGGGGCATCGATGGAGCCGTTGGATCTCACAAAATTAAAGGCTGACCTAGTAGCCAAATATGGACGCTCAATCCGAACTGTGGATGTGGTATCTGCTGCACTTTATCCAAAGGTGTTTGCCGAGTATCGTGATGTCATAGAAAAATTTGGAGATTTATCGGTAATTCCTACCAGGTACTTCATATGCAAGCCAGAGGTTGGAGAAGAGTTTAACATTGATCTGGAGGAGGGGGTCACGTTGATCGTCAAATTTTTGGCAGTTGGACCGTTGAACGTCACTACCGGAAAACGCGAAGTATTCTTTGAGCTGAATGGTGAAGCAAGGGCTGTTGGCATTGATGATAGAACTGCCGGTATGTTTTATTATTTATTTGTATATATTTCTAGATTTTCTTATTAATTGAAAAAAAAAAAAAAAATTACCTCTTAATTCAATAGCTGTTGAGGCAATCCACCGAGAAAAAGCGGATCCTAGTAAACCCGGAGAAATTGGAGCACCAATGTCCGGTGTTGTAATTGAAGTCAGAGCCAAAGGTTTGAATTTTTTTTTTTTTTAATAAAAAAAAAATTTTATGTGAACTGAAAAATTGATTTAACTATGTGACAATTTTTGCTAATCAATAGAGGGAGCTGAAGTCATGGCAGGAGATCCAATATGCGTCCTTTCCGCAATGAAGATGGAAACCGTAGTCACATCGACGGTCGCCGGAAAAGTTGAGCACGTGGCGGTTAAAGAGAACGATTCATTATCACCAGGTGATCTAGTTGTCAGGATAACTAAGGAGTAGTCTCAGTGACTTGTAGTAGACACAAAAAGGATCATTCTTTTCTTTTTTTTAAAAAACCTATTTTATTGAACCAACGACAGCAACTTCTAGAAGAAAACTAATTTTTTAATTGATGCAGCACCAAATTCCGATTGTAATATTTAAATTAAATTGTATCTTAAAAACTCATTACAAACATGTCTTTCTATTTATCAAATTAACATCTCAGCATTAAAGGAATTTCTTTAAGAATAATTTGCAGAGGATATTTTAATGTTGCGAACTTGTTAATTATCTATGAATGAGACAGCAAAACATGTACAGGTGCACTCTTGAAAATTTTTTCCCAGACTGCATACAAAACGTATTTTCTTCTTCCAAGGCGAGAATTCATTTGCAAAATTTTCCAAGTGTGAGAAGAATAGTTAAGACCGTGTAACATTGTAACGACTAATTTATATTTATGTGTAATTGCTGACGGTATCAAACGCGAAGAATCCGAATACGATATGATAATTTATATGGAAAGAAATACTTTGACACGAATGCATACAATTTACTAAGAGTTCGATCACGCTTGGTATCGCGTAAAAATACTTTGATATGATTACAGTGAGTGATAGAGGATAAACTTTTTTTTACAAAGGCGCATTTGGCGCGGATGAAAGTTAGAAAAATTCTTTGTCTGGGACTGGGAATTTGATTCGTGAGCGTCAAACGGTTTGCGGTGTTCCAGGCAAGTTGTCTGTAGAATTTATTAAACTGCTGTAACGGGCGGTATTCAATAACCATGTTTTACCATCTCCCATGCTTTGTAAAGAAAAGAATAATTCAGCACATCGAAAAAAAGAATGTGGGAAATTGAAAATATAAAGAAACGACACATACGGTTCTCCAACCGGTAAAAACCATAAATACCAAGTTGGTCCCATTACTTGAAGGAAGTTAGCCCTGCAAAAAGAAAAAGGGTATCAATCAACTCGTTGACTAATTCTTTTTTTTTTTTACTTTTCTTCAACCCATCGTTTCGATTAATTCATGTACTTGCCTCTTGCCAATATCATATAAATTCAAAAGTTTTCCGGTGGTCACCTCGTCAGTTTCGCGCATCTTAAAATTTTGTTTTGTCATCAGGCTTTCCAGCGTAGTTTGGTTGGACAATAACAGACTCGTGTGATATATGGAAAAACCTAGTAAACTTAGCGCAAACACACCACCGATTAGTATAAGGAAGGATATGTTTAGGTCTAGGCTCATTATCGTTGCCTATGTAGATGTAAAGGCAATTAGTTTAGACGATGAAATACGAGGCACCAATGTGTGTATAGTGGACAGACAGGAGAATCAACTACCTCATTAGAATATTGTAGGTAATTTACTGTGGGCGGTATGGTAGCTATAGTGATATATAGTGAATAAAGTGACCCCCAAATGACAAATAGATAAAATGATTTCTGATTGCGAAATCCTATGCAATTGTTTAGCCTAACAAAAAAGAAAGGTGTACGTCGTTTGCTTGAACAAGAACTGCATGATGCAAAAAAGTGTGCCTTAAAGATTAAAGAGAAAAAACGTACCATGGGCAATGACTTGACATAAAGTCAAATATTATTAGTCAGTGTTATAAGCAAATAAGCAATTCAATAAATTTACCTATTGACTTGGAATACTCACTGATCCATTTTCAGAATACACCTAGCGAGAGCAAAAAGAGTTATTTCGGAAATGATTAAAAAAACATAATTCAAAATCGTCTTGCTCCTCACTACACCGACCTTTTGCACACTCTGCAATGATGTGTTCTATCTGGCTTATCATACTGGCATTTCTGGCAATATCTTTTCTCACCACTCTGTTTTACCATAATCGCCCCCAACGAAACCGGATTCCCGCTTTCATCCAAGATGATATTAGGTTTCTGTTTGGAAGAACCAGTTTTTGTTAATAGAATAGTGTTTTTCACCTCGGGACTACTATGAATTTCAGATGGATGATGTTGGGATGAGATCGTAGTTCCCGGAAGGGTAAGTAACCGAGAAGATTTTGATGATATCGGCTATGGAATCATATATATGTAAATATTACAAGGTCGTTAATGTGATTGGCAATTCATTGATTTAGATAGATTCTTACATCGTCAGGATATCCCGGAGAAGTGAAAGTGGCAACAAAATAACACCACATCATCATTAATAATAATGGATGGTAGATGACCAAATATATTACTCCTGTATAAAATCAAAGTTGATCGGTGATATAATAATAAAGGAATTCACAATCAAGGAAGTTAAAGATTTATAAGCGCAAAACATATATACCTTGAGTAGAGTTTTCGTTTAACAAGTGAAGGATACATAATCTCACCACGAAAGCATAATATGACCACATCACCAGCAACACGATAAATACCACCGGTAAAAAATTACCGACCCTCACCACAAACTGAATGAATTTGTTTTCACTCGCCCAATCCCCAATGTTTTTCTGCGATTTCTCCATCAAGTCTAAATTAAATGACTGAAAACCGAATTTGATCTATGTTCAGTTTTACGTACAGTATATCATGCCGATGGATTTTTTATGGTTCAAAAAAGATTTACCCTATGTCCATATAGACAAACGAAAGACCATGCAGTAAATACGAACAAGGATGGATAATGAAGAATATCAAAGGATTACAGAATAGAATGGATCATGAATTAAGATTCTTACTATAATCACTTTGGGGGAGTCAACGAGTTATTACGCTTGGTTGTCTTGTCGACTCTCACATAAACAATAAACAAATCATTCTCACCCAAAAAAAAAGTTGTTACGCCTTTTTTTTTTTTTGTAATCTGGCTAAGCCCTCATTATCACGGGAGAATACTTGATACATTCAAGTTTTCTTTAATAAGGTTGACTTCTGGGCGTGTGCATTAATTAAATGATAGATTGCACAATCTGCTCACAAAATTTTTTACAATAACTCAATGTATCTAAAGAAGGGGAATACCTCAAATCCCATTTCAAATATGATTCTGTCCCTTTGTACGATATAATCCAACACCTTTCAAGAAAAAATAAAATAAAATAAAATCTACATCGCGCACCTTTTTATCCCATGGGGAAAGTTGTAACTTTGGTTTTCTATAGATGCGCGATTTTTATTTAATTAGTTACTACTACTGGTTATGATGAGTATTAATGGTACATGTGAATCTTGAAAAAAACAAAGGAGTTATACAAGTAAAATAACAGTTTCTTCGTGATCAAGAAATCTCTCGACGAAAGTTCGGTCACTAAACTATTCTCGTGAATCCCTTAAATTTTATAAATTTCCGATGAGACAGAAAAAAAACCATTGTTCGATGAAAATCCATTAACAATGGACATCTAATTTTTCATTAAAAGAAAAGTCCATCAGGTGTGAAATCAAATTTCACACAAGACACAACAAGACATAGCAAAATTCTATTTATATATCTGCGGTGAATGATTCCCTTAGATCTCGTGGAAGTCCCGATATTATTATGCTTGCTTGCAATCTCAGTTTTTCCCGTTGTTTTGCTGTCAGCGTCGACGGAGATCCACCGTCATTGTCCCGAACGGCTGTTGGTGGCAACAATTGCGATGATGCAGAATCTTGTTGATTCGATAATTTCTGAAAAAAAAAAAGATAAAACATTTTCATCAGAATCGTCATATATTGCCGACCTGCCAAAGTTTTTTAAGAAGATGCATCATCACACACCAATTCATCCCTGATCCTAACCAACAAGTCCACCAACTCCATCTCGTGCTTTCCAATAATCCATTTCTGTACATCATCTTCGCAGAGTACTTGCAGGTATCGTTTACGCAATTCATTCTGTGCCTCGATCGTCCGTTGACGGAGCCACGTTGCAAAATTTCCACATTTCAGAAATTGCGTGTAGAAATTAACGTATGTGTTTGTGGTATTTGTTGGAAAATTTTTTGCTTTAAACGGGATCTGTGGACCTTTTTCAAGAATGAAAATACCGTCAGATAATCAACGTTACCCATTATGATACCAGAATAAATGTTCATAAAATTACCATGCTCCTGTAAAGATTTTAAAAAGCTATCTGTTTTGAATGGCTTTAGTTGTGGCGATTCTTGTGAGGAAAGGGTTCTAAAAAATTAATGTACATGGTTAACACGCGTCATTGGAATTTTCCTTAGCAACAAGTATTTTTAAGGCACATACATGTGAAACGGAATCAATGTCGAAAAATAACGGTTGAGCGGAACCAAAAACTTTTCAGTAAGATCCACAAAGTATCGCCTTAGTATGTTATTCAAGAGATAATCTAAATAAACAGAACAAAATGTGCAACTATGTAATTAATTCTCAACACTGAATAAAAAATTTCGATTGACAATAGATCTAAGATTTACCTGGTTGATAGCCGCGGGCTATCGCTTCAGCCAACTTCTTCAGTATTGCCTTATCTTTGGCAATTACGGACTTACGTTTGCTCGTGACGCCCTAAAAAGATGGTCAACATTTATTATAAATATTTGAATTCTAACTATGCACCAGAAAATGTGTCAGTTATCTAACCTGCACGACATCTAACGTTGAGGTGTGAAGCCCCTTCCATGAAGTTTCATAGGTTTTTCTGTGTGTACAAGTTATGATAATGCTAAAATGAAAATCCTTTTTTTTTTTTTTCTTAAACGAAAAGCATAGGTAAAATACCTTGTTCGTGGTTTTCCAACTCCAACTCTAATTATGTTGGGCCAATGTTGCAACGCTTTTGTAAAGAATGGATTGGTCACCCCAATTATAAC